TCCTTATTCTTTTGCTCATCGTATCATTTTGTCTGTTGCATTTCATCTCGTCTTGCTTGCTTTTCGCTTTTTATTTCCTGCTTCGTTTCGCCCCTGACTTTTCAGATACCTTGTTCGATATACAGATTGCACCTGTTGATTCCCTTGGAAGGATGGGGTTCTGATGGAAGCTGAAAGGCAGCGATGGGTTGGGCTAAGGTAGATTTCTTTGCGAACAGCACGACATCTCTCCTGATCCAGACAGGCGGGTTAATGGTGGCAAGGGTCGGGACTGGGATGGCGAGCTGTGCGCAAGCATGTGTACCTGTAGAAAGGCCCACTTGGAGTTTTCGTCGTGCATATGGTTTCCAGCTTTATTTTTCCTTTCGAAGTCAACATCACATCTCTTCCAACATTAATGCTCGCGAGATATCGGTCAGGATGCGGTGAGCTGTTGTGTACACGACAGCACATAACTGGGTGCTTCAGCAAACCTCCCCAGCTGACGAAACTGCTGATCATGTAGGCAGTCTATCTAGCGAGGTTGCCATCCTGTAGCAAGAACCCTCCGCGTGGTCCGTCTCGCCGTCTCGCCGAGAGAGGCATTGTGTCTCCGTGGTGGGTAGGTAGGGTTTCAAGCTCAAGTCCTAAGGACGCGATGAGCCGATATCTTCGGCAGCGAGTGTGCATGGACATTTCGAGGACGTTGAAAGCTGCTCGGCGATGTCCATACTAGGCAACACAGAAGTACCTCGTTAGGCTCAGGGTTCCGCGCATCTCCATGACTGATGATGATGATGCGGAGCTCATCCCTGTTTCCAGCGACCCACACTCCCCGCAGCATGACGATGCGGGGAATGGAGGCGGCGCCAGCTCCGAGTGAAGCAAGATTCCCATAACTACCTTGCTTCATAGCTCCGCGATGCAACTTTGTCACCACTTGTCTCCTCCGCCGCCATGACGCGACCCACGCTGGACATTGTGCTGAAGAACAATACAACGTCTGACAAGGCATATGCGCACATCACGGGTCTAGACTTGAACAAGAACAATGCCGTCTTTATACTCCGCGCTGATGGGCATTCGGCCTACTACCCAGCCTCTCCCAAGGATATCTTGAACCCGCTGGAGGCAGACTGCAACATCCCTCTCGGGCTCAGGGGGTCATCCACGAAAGTCACAATCCCCCAAATCGCCGGCGGTCGCATCTGGTTCTCGCTTGAGGGGCCTCTGACATTCCTGCTGAACCCAGGACCGGCTGTCGTCGAACCCTCGGCCACAAACCCCTCTGATCCCAACTACAACCTGAACTGGGGGTTCTGCGAGCTCACCTACAACGCTGCACAGCTGTACGTCAACATTTCCTACGTTGACTTTGTCAGCCTGCCTATCGCGCTGCAGCTCGAGACCGATGACGGCAAGGTCACTACCGTACCGGGCTTCCCCGCCAACGCCCTCGACGCCGTCTGTGACGCACTCGTTGCGCAGGACACCGACGACAAGGCCGGCTGGTCACGTCTTATCGTGCGCGCAGCGGATGGAAAGGCAAACTTGCGGGCCCTGAGCCCCAACTCGGCCATGGTTATGAACCCAGATCTTCTCAATACGTACTTCCAGTCCCACGTTGACAGCGTCTGGAAGAAGTATCGCGACAATGACCTCGTCGTGCATACACAGGCTGAGTGGGGCGACGTCAAGGGGCGCGTAGGTGGCGACGACAAGCTGACCTTTGAGGGCATCGGCTCCTTCGCCCGCCCGTCCACCCGCGACATCTTCGGCTGCAGTTCGGGGCCGTTTGCTGGGTACCCCGCCGACAAGGCTGCCGCCATGGGCAACATCGGGGCACGCCTGGCGGCTGCTTTGAATCGATCGACGTTGCTGTCCAACGGTCGCCAGCCTGAGGATGAAATGGTTGAGGCCTATTATCAGGAGCCTGAGACAAACCACTATTCGCGAATCTGCCACGAGGTGAGCCTCGAGGGGCGGGGTTACGCCTTTCCATATGACGATGTGGGCCCCGCCAATGGCCATGATCAGTCTGGGTGTTTGTTTGACTCGAATCCCAAGGTCCTCACGGTCACAGTGGGTGGAGCGCAGTAATGCGGATGTCAGATGTATTGACTCGAAATGCGAATGTGTTCTTTACCGTGCCAGTCTGTGCATGTACTGCTCTATCCAGCATGCTGTGCGCAACGTTGATATGCCATGTTCGATCCAAAAACGCAACTCTGCGCATATGTGGCCATCTTTGAAACGGTCTAGCATGGAAGCAGTGTCAGCCTCCCAAGAGTTCAGACTTGCTTCATGTCAGCCCGCATATATCACGGTCGAGGACCTGACGGTGGTGGTTCTCGTGCTCCGTTGCAGCGCCGAAAAGGCTGCCACGTTCCACTGGTTCGCTGCATACACACGGCGTGCTCCAACATTGTCCGTCACGCGAATCCCCGAAGGTGACCACGGAGCTCTAGCATAGACGGGGTTTCGGTTGGCGGTCATTAAGCTTCCGCCCCCGCAACTTCTTGAGCCAAAAGCAGCCCCAGGACTAATCTGCCCTCAAATGAATGCACTTGCGAAAGCCAGCCGAACAGACTAGCACGGCGCCATTTCAGAGCGTAGACCAGACGAGAACAACCCACGCCGGCAGGATCATGGCGTCGTTCTGGCCGCTCGCCGTCAACGTTGGGTATCAGCGCGGTCAAGTAAGTGTGGCGCTTCTTTCACCAGTTGTCGAAATTGCCAAAGCCGCCACTCTTTGCCTTCTTCTTCGGCGGCTCGTTCCATGTGTCCAGGTGGTTCCCTACCACTTCCTCGCTGGGCTGTTGTGAGGACAAGTACTTCCCTACTCCGCCTCCAGTGGTTTCGCCGGCAGAAGTGCCATCAGCGCGGAGTCTCTTGCCCGTCCACGTGGTACGGTCATCTTCCGTGCCACCACTCAGCTTGATGGCCTCCTTGGCCTTGTCGGCCTTTTCGCGCTCCAGCTTCTGCTTCTGGAATTCATCAAAGGGATCCACATAAACCACAACGTTTTTCATGACAATGTCGTTGATAGGGCGATCGGAGCTGTCTGTAGCCACATTCTCAATCTTGGAGAGGACATCCAGTCCCCCAACAACCTTGCCGAAGATGGTGTGCTTGCGGTCCAAATGCTTAGCAGCGCGGTAAAGAATGAAGAACTGGCTCGAGTTTGTGTTCTTGCCCTTGTTGGCCATGCTCAGCAAGCCGCGCGCTTCGTGTGTCAGAGGGCCCTCGAATTCGTCCTGAAAGTTCTTGCCCCAGATACTTGTGCCACCTTTGCCCGTCCCTGTGGGGTCTCCACCCTGAATCATGAAGTTGCGGATGTTGCGGTGGAAAGCTACTCCGTTGTAGTATCCCTTCTGAGCGAGCTTGATAAAGTTCCATACAGCACGAGGAGCAAATTCTGGGAACAGCTCAATGTTGAGCTCACCAAGGTTTGTTTCGATACGAACGTAGCCTGAAGTCTTGATTCGCTTCGGCTTGAGCATGTATTCCTCGTCCGATATGAGCGCGCGCTCGCCGCTCGTCTCCGGGGTCAGTCCCGTGCTGGTGAAACTGGCGGCGGCACGTCCTGTGGTGTAGACGGCAGCATTCGGAGCCTGCTTCTTGTCGTTGATCATCGACGTCCTCGGTGCGACGGCCATAGATTTGACAAGGGCACCGCCAGCCGCCGTTCGGTTCACATCGCCACCGGCCTCGCGCTCTTTGCGGGCTTTTTCCACGGCCAGCTTCGCCCTGATAACCTTGTCGCCGATGCGGCCTAGCGCATCGACGTTGACGTTGCCATTCTTGCGCTCCTCCTCCTGCTCCTTAGTCAAGAGAGCCTCTTGGCCGTCGTTCAGGTACTTGAATTGGCTAAGGTCGCGGCTCGCGGCGTTTTGTGGGTCTTGAAGCGTGATGATGTCGGCGCGGGTGAAGTCCTCGTCGTCCACAAGATCCTTCCAGTTCTTCGCCTTGATGTTCATCTTCTGCACCGTATCCCACGCAAAGACATTGGCGTAGGCGCCATGCCGAATGGCAACGATGTGTGTATTGTCGGTGAAGACTTTGTACGAGACAGGATCAATGAGATCGCCGCGGCCGTCGCTGAAACCAGGCGTGCGCGAGTCGGTCTCGGCGTTGCGAGCAAAGTTGAGCCTGATGAGGTCCTTGGCGCTTAGCGGCTCGCCATCCACGGGATTTGTCTTGTGTTTCTGGAGCCACGAGTCGATGACCTCCACATCGAATATGGTGCCGCTACTGGTGCACACGGGGTTCTTGAAGGGCTGGAGGCTGGCGGCACAGAAATTGAAAGGCAGTCGGCGAAAGGAAGCACCACCTGAGCGCGACTTGGCGCCGGCGGAAGCCGAGTAGTTGTCGCCGCTGGACCACTCGCTGTGGGTGATGTAAAGCTTGTCGGTGCCTTTTCCCATTGTCGCTTGCTGGGAGTCTCGCGAGAGCTCGATAGGATGATGTCGTGGAGTTCCAGGCGAACCTCTGGCCGGTCTCAGATGGGTCCAGTGTTCGCTGTTGAGGCACTGGTAGACTTTACTGTGGACCTCGAGCGTCCCGCGTCATACCTAGACGGCCCCAAGCACGCGCCTAGTGGACCACCTAGCCTGGTCCCAGGTAGGTAGGTGCCTGCCTACCTACCTTACATTAGGTGTCCTCGACCTCCACCCGGCTTTGAAGTTAAGGTGGGAGCACTCTCTTTCGCGGGAGCCTTGTCGCAGCTCATCTTCGACCACACCCATCCCTTCCGGCACACGGTTTTGAACGCGACATCATTCATCACAGCTCAAGCAATCAGACAAACATTGACGGGTTAGCGGCACATCTCGGGATATCTCTTTGGTTCCCAGCAGTGTCTCCCTCAACGCCGACAGGCGCCAGCCCAACTTCGAGGCATGCGCTTCACTGTTTCAAGCATTCGATCAACCCAGACAGGCTGTCTGTAGCTTCCTAGCTGTTGATAAAACCTGAGGCCGCAGCATCTTCGTCGCGACTCGACGCCGCCCAGCTTCGCCATGAAGTCATGGATGTCCGGCCTCGTCATGGGCCTGTGCCTTTGGACGGCCCATGCCATGGAAGTCAAGATAGTATGTGAAATGCTCAATCCGGCCCGCCGGCACTCCCACATCCAGAAACATGTACTCTATACAGATCCTGATTCCATCTCCCTTGTAGGATCAGACAGATGAGAATCGACAACGATGCGCCGGAATGTACAGCCGCAAGGCCTGGGGAGGACCGGTCGACCCCTATATCAACATATTGTTCCCCGCTGTTCAGATCGACAAGGACGCTGTCGTGAGCGTCGTCGTTTTCGAGTGGAAGGACGAAGACCTCATTGGAATTCGTGAGAACCCCGAGTCACTTAAAGTAAGCCTTTCTTCTGGCACATGTTCGTTGCGGTCGACATTATCTGACCTCGATATCAGAAAATCGGCATTTGCGAAGACAAGTGGGTAAAGAAGGGATACTGCAACGAAACCGATATAGGAGAGTTCATTCTGGCTGAGGGCGCCACCGAAAAGTCCAAGAACCTGATCCAGACATACGCTGTCAACCTCAAGGATCCCGGCAAACCTACAAAGTACATGATCTCTCAGACAGGCTACTACTGCGTCTTGACCGATCGCTTTACCGCGCAGAACTACGAGGCCGTTGTCGAGTTCCGCAACGCTTATGGCGAGCTTCCAGCGACCCAGATACCTAAGCTGCCTTTTTACGGAGGTGTTACTATCCTCTACGCCCTAGTTGCGGTGTTCTGGGGTTTCCTTTACTACCAACACCGACATGATATCTGTAAGGACCATGCGAATGGTACTGTATGAGGATCCATGCTAATAGTGCCAAGTGCCTGTGCAAAACTACATCACTGCGATTCTGATCTTCCTGGTCGTCGAAATGTTGATGACTTGGGGCTTCTATGGTATGTTCTGCCTCGCATTATCCTGGAGCCAATGTCCACTGACGCGCTTCAGACTATCTCAACCGCAACGGCTCAAACATCGGTTCCAAGGTTCTTCTCGTATTGGTGGCCATACTGAATGCCTTCCGAAACTCGTTTTCCTTCTTCCTACTCCTCATCGTCTGTATGGGCTACGGCGTGGTCAAGCACACGCTTGGCCGGACCATGATCTGGGTGCGCTGGCTAGCTATCGCGCACTTTGTCTTTGGCCTCGTTTATGCAGTCACCAGCCTGCTTGTTACTCCGGACGAAGCTGGTAAGTCGTTACTGGAAATATCTTGCTCGAGCCGACTGCTAATCTCAACAAGGCATCTTCGTTCTGTTGATTGTCCTTCCCCTGGCGAGCACGCTCACTGCGTTTTACGTGTGGACCTTGAACTCTCTGAACTTTACGCTTAAGGATCTCAGGGAGCGCAAGCAGCACACTAAAGAAGCCATGTACAAGAAGCTCTGGTGGTGCATTCTCATCAGCATCTTTGTTATCTTTGGCTTCTTCTTCTTCAACAGTTTCTCATTCGCCTCGGTCAATGATCCGGACTATGTGCCTTTCCACTGGAAGTCTCGTTGGTTCATTCTCGACGGCTGGCTTAACTTGGTCTACTTTGCCGACGTTGCGTGGATCGCATACGTCTGGCGGCCTACTGCCAATAACCGCCGCTTCGCCATGAGTGACGAGATTGCTCAGGACGACGACGGCACTTTCACCATGGCGGATATTGGAGCGCCCGATGACTCGGACGACGAGGAGGCTCAGCTTGGCAAGGATACCAACGCGCGGCAGACACTGCAGGAGCAGCTGTACACCCAGTCTGGCTCAACAACGCGCGCTGGTCAAGCCGGCGCATCCGCCGGTGCCTCTACAGTGCCAACACAAAGGAACCTGCCTAGAGAGTCACTTGACGGTGAGACCATCTTCGCCGTTGGTGAGGATGGTGACAGATTCTCGGATGACTCGGACGAAGAGAATGCGAAGCTGGTTCATTCTGGAAAATAAGGGGGGTTGAATATTTCTTTGGCCACGCTACATCATGTATGAATAGGGATTGCACTACAGCGGCGCCAATAACGAATTGATTACAGTAGAGAGCACCAACGCGCTCATGTGGGCAGATCTTGATACCACGTCTCCCTTCTCATAATCATACATACTGTACACTGACTAAACCAAGGTCAAACATCGCCACCGAACCCGACCGGCCGTCTCTGCCCATTGTTCTCCGGTAAAATCGCCATGACCTTGTAGACCTTGCCCATACCCCCAGGGCCCCTATCCACCAGCCTGCGCCATGACTTCTCGATATCCTCAGCCCTCTCTTTCGGCAGGCCAGCCCGCTTGCTCAGCATCTCTGCCCTCTCTTTGATGCCCATCTGACCGAGGAAAGCTGCCTGCTCAACCGGGCCATGCACCTCGACAGCGTCACTCGCTTTGGTAACAGCCTCAGCGAGGGCAGCAAAGTCTACATCAGCGCTAAGATCGACGAGCCCAGGCTCGGTGAAGGGGTTGACACGACGGTGGCGACGAATACCGCGCAATGAGTTGATCGGTATCGTGTCCTCGGTGCCGTAATCGAGAATCAGGGCAGCCCCGGCGGGCCGCTTTCTCGGCGCCTCGGCCGTGCCGCCGATGCGGGCGGCGAGGTCACCAGCGAACATGCTCGCGTCGGGACAGACCTCGATCACGGAGCCCGGTACGGACTTCAGAGCTCGGTAGCGCTGGGATGACTCCGGTACATAAAGAGCATGCTTCGTCGGGGCCGGGGAGAGGGTGAGCTGGAACTCTGGTACCATCTCTTTCTGTTCGGACGTGGGTGTGTTGAGCGTTGCGTGGGTCGCATCCGGGGGTGTGGGCGAAACCACGAGCTCGCGCCATTCGAATACAGGAAGGGGGGTAGCCTCCACGACGGAAGGCTCTGGCTGGGTTGGTAAGTTTTGCGGGTTTGAGGTTGGCGTCCGAGGAGGTATGGGAGCAGGCGCCTTCTTCGCGCTCTGGAAGGCATGGATGGGCAAAGCGTCGAAGAATTCGTGCGCCACCATAAGGGGCATCTTTTCCGGGCCTTCTGGGATGGCCTTGACGACTCCGGTCCAAACGATGGGAATGTTGCCGTACTTGGACATGCTGTGATGGCCAATCTTGGACTCGGTCATGGCGGCATCTGGTCCGCACAGGAGGCTTTTCTGCGCCTCCCGCAGCGTTGGGCTTGCTTCCACCATGTATATGGCATCAATGCTACTGGCGAACTCCTTAAAGTTCTGGACTGTCCTGAGTATGTCGTCCATTAGGGTTCCTCGGCCTGGTCCCAGTTCGATCAACTCGACGCCCTTATTCGGCTTGCCCTGGCTCATCCACTCTGTGACGAACCAGATGCCCACAAGCTCGCCAAATATCTGTGATATCTCCGGTGATGTAACAAAGTCGCCCTTGGTTCCGAACTGATCTCTTCCTTGTTCAATCAGGCCGGTGTAGTAGCCTCCAATGTCACCCGTCATGCACATGCGCATATAACTGGCCAAGGGGACAGGACCGGTGATCTAGAGTCCCAAGTTAGCAATGAAAACATAAGTAAAGGGCGCCAGTGGGGTATGCACACCGAAATCGCATCCGCAAGTTGTTTCGCCAGTGGCGTTGTCCATTTCCTGTCTTCGCTTGCGCTCTGGCGACGGCATGCGCTGCAAGACAAGTTCCGTGTAGCTTGCGACGGACGGAGAGTTTGCGGTCGTAGAACACATCGTGGGGCTTGGAAAATGGACTGAGGCGTAAACATAGTTCTGGTAGCCATGCTGACGCCAGTGGTCTAGGCGCTCGAAAGGCCACCCTGATAACGAATGAGTAGATGTCTGGAGAAGAAGAAGCTCTTCCTTCGGTCTGGCTGCGTCCACGCAAAAACCTCAAGATCAGCGGCTTGAGCTTCCACGATGCGATAAGATAAGCGATTGGGCTAAGCTGGGCAGGGGACTCGCCCATCCACCAGCCTCGCAAGATCCAATACCAAAACGGTCATTGTATTGCCCGCAAGTCCAAACCTCTAAGCTAAAGTTCGACGCTCTTCCGATATCGCAATCGTACTTCCGACAACTCAGAGGATCTGCATCATGGCCGGCAGGTGGGCCGACACAGAAGAAGACACCGCCTTCGAAGCAAAGCGCAAGCAAGAGAAGGAAGAGAAGAAGCGCCTGAAGGCGCAAAAGGCTGAGCAGCAACGCAGAACTGAAGCAGAGCGCCAGACGCAGGAAGCAGCATTACAGGCGCCAGGCGCAGAAGAACATGACCGGCCTTCGAAGAGGCGAAAAACAACCCCAGAACACAACACAGCCGACGGAGACATCCAGGGAAACGCTAAGCTACTACGGTTCCCTTTGCGCTCGTGGGGTAAGTGTCGCAGCGTCGAACGTTACGACAAGCTCAATGACATTGAAGAGGGCACTTATGGATGGGTCTCCAGGGCCAAAGACACTGCCACTGGCAAGGTTGTCGCGCTGAAGAGGCTGAAGCTTGAGCCGACAGACCACAACGGACTTCCAGTAACTGGGCTACGCGAGATTCAAATATTGAGGGATTGTCAACACAGAAATATTGTGAATCTCGAAGAGGTTGTGGTGGGCGACGACACGTCGAAAATAGAACAGTATGTGCCTTTCACCCTCATCAGACGGTCTGAAGAGTGCCTAGCTAACCGTAGTCTGGAACAGCATATTCTTGGTTCTCGAGTTCGTCGAACACGACCTTAAGAGCATTCTTGAGGAGATGCCCGAGCCGTTCCTCCTTTCCGAAGTCAAACGCCTGCTCCTCCAGCTCACTTCAGGCATTGCCTACCTCCACGAGAACTGGATACTACACCGCGACCTTAAGACTTCCAATCTGCTCCTCAACAACCGCGGACAGCTCAAGATAGCCGACTTTGGCATGGCACGTTACGTTGGCGACCCGGCGCCTAAGCTGACGCAGCTTGTCGTGACCCTCTGGTACCGCGCCCCCGAGCTCCTCCTCGGCGCTAAGACCTACGACTGGTCTGTCGACATGTGGAGTGTTGGCTGCATCATGGGCGAGATGCTCACGCGCGAGCCCCTCCTTCAAGGCAGCAACGAGGTAGACCAGGTGACCAAGATTTTCGAGCTCTGCGGTGTCCCGACGCAAGAGTCTTGGCCTACGTTCCGCAGCCTCCCCAACGCCCGTACACTGCGTTTGCCAAAGACGTCGCTCGTCACAGGGTCCATCATTCGTGCCAAGTTCACTTCGCTGACGAATGCGGGCTGCGGCCTGCTGAACGATCTGCTCGCCCTTGACCCAGACAAGCGACCCTCGGCCAAGGACATGCTGCAACACAAGTACTTCAGCGAGGACCCCAAACCCAAGCAAGAGAGCATGTTCCCCACGTTCCCTAGCAAAGCCGGCCAAGAACGAAGGAGGCGTCATGAACCCCATGCTCCGGGCCGCGGACAGCAAGCGGCAGATCTGAAAGAGGCCGACTTCAGTGGCATCTTCCAGGGGCGAGACAGAGAAGAACGTGGTGGCGGGTTTCAATTACGCATGGTGTGAGATGTAGATAAAGAGACATGTGCAGTTGAGCAAAGAGACGAAATGATATCTACGCCGACATTATATCCATTACCCAATATGATTGATGATGGTGAAGATCAACCCCGTTAAGACCGAACCTGTGTGGCCAACGCCGCCCGAAAAAAAGCCACCAGTCCCAACCAATCCCAGCCGTTCGATTTGAGTGCATCGCTTGACAAGACGACCATGAACCAAACAGTTTTGTCAAGATTGTAGAGTAAAGCGCGAGAAGAAGCAGCAGGCACTCCATTAAAAAATGGTACCCGATACGAACCAGGTGAAGCTTGCTACCGTCGCGACACTCATAGTCAGGGCGAAACCAACGGCCTTGGAGTCAAATGCAGGAACACCAGCGTTACATGTCGGACAGGTCCAACCATCCTTTAAATCTTCGTAGCTGTTGGGTAGGTAAATGTCGAAAGTGAAGCTGTCATACGGGGCCAGGTAGCCGGGCCGGGGAGTGGCCTCAGGGCCCTCGTCAGAGTCGTAGACGACGAGAGTATATTTTCCGTTCGAAAGAGCCATCTCGGCACCGGCTGTAGCGTACTGCTCGGTCTCCCAGATGACGTTGTTGCCCATGGTTGAGTAGGTCATATTCTGAGTAACAGTCCAGACGTTGTTGCCCAAGGCCATGCTGATAAGCACATCGACAGCAGTCGGCTCGGCCTGGACGTTGGTGTAGTTCCATCCCAGCGTGATGTCATTGCCAGCCTTGTAAAGCTTGAGCGCCGGGTCGGTGGGGGCAGGGGTAGTCATCTGAATACCGCCGGCAGCCGCGAGGTCGTCGATCGAGGTCGTCCTTGTTGACGACCTAGTGTTCGTTCCGGTCGGGATCTCAGCCGTGTTCAAGCTACCGCCCCTGCGGCCGGTGGTCGTGGCCGTCTCCTCTTCGGTGCCAGATCCGGTGGTGCGGGCTGAGCCCGTCGTTCGAGGCGCCTGGGTTGTCTCGGCAGCCGAGGCTTCTGCAGAAGCTATGAGGCTTTGTCAGCGTTTCCGTTGCATGCTAACATGCGGACCATGGCTGTACATACCAGAGGCAGCAGCCGTGGTTCTCTCATCGTCGTTCTGACGGACGACGAGGGCATCAATCTCAGGGAGCCACTGAGGCCAGGCAGAGGCCAAGGGTGTCAGTGCTGCGAGGCAAACAGCGAGAGACTTGGTAGCCTTCATTGTGATTTTGATCCCGATGATTCCAACGCTTTCGGCAAAGAAGTTTTCAGTTCTCTCTTATCAACAACGCGAACGAATGGGTTATCGCAGGCTTCCAGGCGTCCACGGGCGAGGAGGTGCTCGTCCAGGTACTAGTGTTTGAAGGCGTGTTTTGGTCGGGCCCCTTTTCAGCCAACAAGAGCGAGTGGCAGCGATCAAGTCGCGGATGATATTAAAATGAAATGATAATGGAGGGGTGAAGTTGAAAGAAGAAGAAGAAGGAGGCGAACGATTGTGAGAAGCGAGTGTAACAAGGCAATGCTGCTTGTAGAGGAGATGGGGTTGTGTCGGGGAGGATGGCGAGAGAGAGGAGGCGCGGCTTGTACGCAGGTTGAACAGACAAAATGCTGAGGTGATGTGGTGACCCAACGGGGCTCCTGGCACAAGTTGAGACTTTTCGGGTACAGGGGTTGGAGGATGTTGCAGTGCCACCACAGCCACAGCTCGTAATCAAGCATCCAGCCAGCGGCATGATCTGATCGTCGCCTGGGTGACCCTGGCTAGCCTTGCTTTTCGGCATCGTCTTGCTACATCAAGACTAGCGCCCTCCACTGCATCGTATTCCGTTCTGCTGTGTCTTGATTCTTGGCCCCCTATACCTCTCGGGTGTACCTAGGGCGGCGAGTCGTTGGTGCTGAGCGAATGCAATGCCTTGCGATGCTTGTGGGGAGTTTCGCTATTAATAGGGCCTTCCGCTTGCCCGTCACCGAGTCGCCGTGTGACGGGGACGATGTGCCTGACCTCGAATAGACGACTCCAGTCACGTGTCAGCATCTTAATTGTGTGATCCGTCTCTTTTCCAGCATGCAACTTGTCACTGATCTCGTTTCCGCTTTGTAAGACGCCGTAAAACGCTTGCTTTTGTCCGAGGTCATGTCTCTCTTGTGGAGGCCAATAAATAATCGGAGTCTTTCGGCCATTCTATGAAACCACACTGCGTTCAATCAGTCTTACAGCGTTACTTGCTTTTCCCGCATGGACAGCTTTTAAGCACACCAAATGCGCACTCTTTTATCATCAACTCGTCCGCCTGAACACCGAATGAAACCATCAACACAGGAACAAGACGGTTAAATGCTATGATAGGAGAATCAGGGTTTGGATCGGATGTTTGATCCTCATTATATCGCTACTTGTATCAATTGACGGGCCTGAATACTAATTGTCTAAGGTGTCGCTGAACTAAGTAAAATCACAACACAAAACTCCTTCACCAGCCGCTATTGTCAAGTCACACAAGTTGGTCCTTGGGGTTGCGAGGCAAAAGTATTAGTTTCGTCCGTGTCTTCGCTACTCAGGCCACCAGGATCCAATATCTGGAATCGATTGGCCATGGCAGTAAGTTCCACCTTTGACCAATTAGCAGCAGCATGAGCTCGGGTCTTCGAGACAACGAGGCTCTCGAGCGGCGCTATACATCCGTCGGCATCCCACTCAACCTTCGAACCCTTGTACTTGCTACGACACAGTCAGCATCGAGCGAACGAGCTTCCATGTTCCTTGTTCTCCTGCTGCACAACTCACTATCGACTCATCATGCAGGTGCGGGCGAACATGGCATTATACACTGAATTGGTCTGGATGAAACAGCTCCCGGCATCAAAAGAGATTCGGATGATGACAAGATTGTGTATGTGCTCCAGGTCATCACGTATGCTCTCTGCTGTGACTTCGGGGCTACAGCGTCGCACGATCAAGTTGCGTGTCGCTCCACTGCCGATTTTGTTGCTAACGTGGCCTGGTAGAACACATTGTCGGTCGCTCCATTTAATGTTCACCTACTCAATGTCAATTTACTGGGATCACGCCACGCATACTGTCAGTTGTCCCCTCAGCCACAACGTACCCTCTTTTGTCGGATGTACAGGTCATTTCGACGGACATGATTGTAGAAGGCTTGGGCGCTTTCCGCATGTAAGAAGGAGATCTGAGCCGACCGATCATGAGTTTTGAGGAGCACTTCGAGCAGCATGCCACCTCGAACCACATCGGTGATATCGGCATGTGTTGTGGTCTCTGCCAAATCATATAGCACAACAGTGCGTATTGCCGTTTTTGCGTACTGCGCGTGGCGAGGCCGCTTAGTAATGGCATCAGTGGGGTGTGTTATCTCTTCAAATGCTGGGTCAAGAACCACAGTCTCAGTCTTGTGTCCATCATTCATGGTGCGAGGGGGTTCGTCTGTAGTCCCCACTCTCGAGAATGCATACACCAACGGGCGGGGGTTTCCAGATGGCCTCTGAGTTTGGCAGGGGTGCCCCTTGGCATGGGAGTCACCACGTCGACCAGGGGCATTGAGGTTATTGTCTTTAAGGGATCGATGATCATGAGCATCATGGGTGTCGGACGATGCAGCATCAGCTTTGGATTCCAAGGTCTCCTCTTGGCTCAAAGACTCTTGGCTGCTCAAGAGCTTTAATACGAGTGCTGTTAGTATTGCCCAGTGGTCTGCATTATTTCAATAGCCAACTCACATCGAGGGTGGCTTGGGTAGCACCCCCATTGATGAGATTAGAGCACAGATTGGCTTGTAATTCATGTCTGTTAGTGACGAGTACACGGACTCATGGTAAAACGACTGAAACGCGGTTACACACCATAGTGGCGAGCGACAGCCTTCAAATCGTCGTACTCGGGCTTCAGTACCAGTATTGTGCCGTTATTGATCGACGTTGGAGCTAAGTCGGAGGGTAGAATAGACGCGGACGGCTGGTTCTTTGGCACCCTGAGGTCAGCCTAAGCTTTGTGGAATCTGAGGGTGGTACGCCTACGAAGTTGCACCTGTGGATGACAGACCTTGTTAGCTACCGACACATCCCAATGGACAAGGGAGAAGCGGGCCGTAAACCTAAGCACTGTGGGGAACACAAAGAGGAGCGGGTGGCACTCTGCCTACCAGGGTAATGAGTGAGATAACATACCTGCGAATCAATGTGTCGAAGTACGTACGACTAATCGTGACAGGTGCTGGAGACTCCATGGCCATCATATGTCCCCTGCAACTGAATGGTCAACTGGATGAATGATCAAGTTCAATGCCGTGTCGCGTCACGATAATACCTAGACTGGGGATGAGAAGTATGGTTCTAGACTCCACTCCTTTTTTACTCTAAGGCATGTGTAGAAGCTGAGAGCGGGAGGAGACCCCGGCCACGCCAACGCAAATGCCGGTTTTACGCCTGATTCGGGTTGTGGCAGGTACCATTTGATGACAGGTGGGGCTTCGCGTGGAGGCTCTTGTTAGGGTCGTGCAATGTAACTTCCCGAGGACCTAAACAAAGGCATACATATAATGGCTTTCCAAAATTGAGACGGTGCTCTCAATCACCACCGCCAACTCAGCTTCACAGTGGAAATGTTTTTTTGAGATAAAGACAAAATCTAACGTTAACTGTACGACTTGCTATGCCACCCATGCTTAAGCATTGGAGGTCATGTTCTTCCTTACCCGGAAACCCGAGTTGCCATCTCACCATGGTCCGCTGAGCGGGAATCGCTCATATCTTCCGCCCAGTTTCTAAATCCGTGTGCCCTGCTTCCCCCTCTCCTTCTCCTTCGCTCCCTTGATGAAACAAAGCCAATATTCCCATGATTGTCGTCGACCCTTTGCCCGTTCCATGACCTCTCATCCACACCCACCCGAATGACCAGCGTCTGCATGCCATCGCCCCATGTTGTACGCTGGGATGGTGTCTTATCAACAACAAGTCACCTATCTACTTGGTGTTGTTGGTTGCTGAAGCCAAGTAGCTGAGTAGGAAGTTTCGGTCGGCCGGCGAAATGGGTGTCTGGCTACCCCGTCGAGATTCGGCCGCGTCGTCCTGAGCGATCTGCCCTAGTAACGGCAGTCCCCTGCTAGCTGCAGACCCTGACCTCGATGTAGTTTCTGGTGCCGCTGAGTCCGGAACTCTACCTGCAGCATCTGGTGTAGCAGGGGCAACAGATGGAGGTTTGCCAAAAAGCGAAAGCAGCTTACTTCTCTGTTCATGCGACATGGATTCCTTTCTCTGCAAGGCCGCAGGCGTAGGAAGTGACGATGTCGCCGGAGGACTGGCGAGGCTTGAAGGTTTGTCTTGTCCGATAGCCCTGTGCGCTGCCAGCGTCGCATTGACAGACACTTGACGCGGTGCTGTTGTGTGCCCCAAGACCTCAGGACGTCTCAGGATCGTGAAAGGCGGTGTTTGAGTAGCTCCCTTGTTCGGCTGCTTGCGGCTGAGGTTCGAGGGGTCTGCACGGTTAGGTTGATGTGCCGCTGAACCCTGTTCGGCCTGCTGCGTAATTGGCTGAGAGGACAATGGGTTAAGTTCGACGCCAGAATGTCCAGGTCCATGTGTGTGCTTTGAGCTGACCGTGGCTATCTCGGGCGCCTCTGAGCCTTGGTTTGTGTGCGCCACCCCTGTGGTGATAGCAATGTCTCCCTCAGGCTTCTTAAACATTTGCAGTAGCGCAGACCTATGCTGCTCAGTGCCTGTCGCGCTGCGAACGAGACCAGTCTGGGCCGAACCATGGGCCGAAAGAGACGCTTCCTGTTGCCAGAAGGCCGGCGGAGACTGGTATTGCGCAGACTGCACATTGCTGCCAGGTTGATGTCCCTGTAGCTCGGTTTCGTTCGTAACGAGGTGTGGTTGTTGGCCGTTGCCCCCTGGTGCTGGATTAGGAGATTTAGATCCGGACTTGAGGACACCTAGCAATGCCATGGAGTGATTGTTGAGCTGAGTAGGTGGTGGTTTTGGAATTGGCATATAATTCTGGGTAAATTGTGCAAGTCCTTCTGGACGCGAATATCCTTGCGGACGAATCTCATGCCGAGTCGGCCCATGCATGCCTGTCGGATATTCAGTCGAGGGGCCAGGATTGCCATATATCGCTTGTGGTGAAGCAGCGTGGAGGCGCTGGTGAGGCTGCTGAAAGCGGCCTTGTACAGGATCACCCTGGGCGAGCTGTTGATGATGGGAAGAGTATTGGACCGGCAGGTTTGCTTCCAGTGGGAATTGAGGGGGCGGCTGATAGCTTGAGAGAGGAGCCCTGGGTTGTGGATGTTGGTGATGCAGCCTAGTTGTCTGGATTGAAGTATTCTCGATGTAACCGATGGGGGTATGTGGCACGTGAGTTTGCGGACCACTGTTATGGGCTTGGCTGTTTGCCTGGAGAACGGCGAGAAGAGATGCGCCCTTGTCCCGGTTGATATCGGACATGGATGGCATTTGAAGCCCTTGCGTATTCGGTTGAACCTTGAGCAACCTTTGAAGCTCTTTGGTCGCACCTTCAAGGGTATCTAGAGCAGGAGTGTGCTCTACCACGGCTGCCGTTGGCTTATTTTGTACCCAAGCATCATCTTCAGTAACAGGCTCATCGTAGAGATTCTGAGGCTGAAAGTGAACCTGTTGGGTGTTCTTCGCATTGTCTCGTTTCTTCTGTTGCACCACCCACTTCTTCAGAGGGACGAGAAAAGGAGCGACCATGTAGAACTTGTTTGCGTTTACGGCGGCGGCGGAAGCCGCGGCATCATTTTGATTGTTGCCTTTCTTCCGAAACGCAGGGAGTTCAGAAAGATTGTACCAAGAGATCTTGCTGATCTCCTTCCTGGTACGTGGCGCGAAATGGGTATCCATGGGGACATCCCGAAACACGTATAGCCTCATCTGCTGCTCTCTCATGGTTATCTCGATATGCTTAACATCCCGATTAGGAGGAACCAAGCCGGCAGCATGGAGATCGTATCCCGTTTCTTCATAGACCTCTCGGATGGCGCATTCCAAATCGTCCTCATCCTTATTGATCTTGCCACGTGGGAAACTCCAATTGGCGCCCTTCTTCCAACCTTTGACGAGAACAGTAGAGTCCATGTCCTCATTGAGAAGAATTGCTCCGCGTACGGGCACTCGTGTTTTATACTGTAAAAATTCTTCAAATGCGCGAGTGTGGTTCTCTACCGAGAATGGCGCAAGGAGAGGGCAGTGTTGGAAGATTCTCAGACTGAAGTTTCGGAGGGTCATGGAAGGTAGGGTTGGGTCGAGCGGACGGACGAAGTCCTCGTAAAACCATTGAGCTTCCTCGATTTGAAAGCATATCCGTGCTACGGAGGAGAGGTCCTCCTCGGGGAGGTTGATGATGAAACGGACGCACAGGTCATCCAGCCCTTTACAACTATCAGTAAGAACAACTTGAAGAAGCTCTTATTAGACTTACAATCTTCTAACTGCATCTTGTAGGCGGCCATGATAGAAGCGACGTCAGGCTCATGTCCGAGCCAAATAAAGTCTTTGGGGTAGAGTTGATCCAATAATGGCGAGAGCGCTTAGGACTTTCGTGTGTTCTTCCGTAAAGAGATATCCAGCTGTAGTTGCATGGTAGTTGGCGAGCCGGAATGACGTGTTTGGCAGCGACCTGATCGAAGAGTACGTTGCGACAGTTGAGGCGCAAAACACTACGTCCAGGGACGGGCAGTTTCGTCGCACAAGAGTCGGAAGTTCGACAGGGGCGAATAACAGCGCAGGTGGAACCGCTTTGGGCAGCTTGATAAAACGGTAATTGCAGAATGCACCAAATGTTTCACAGCGAATGAAGTATTGTGATGGACCTCGTTGTCGACGTGATGTGGTGGATGAGAAAGCGAGCAGAATACGCAACCAGACAAGAGCCCGTGGGGCTGGACTGGGCTGTAGCTCGGCTGGATCTGGGACCCAAGGTTGATAGGAGCTATCAATGTAGTGCTCTTGGATGCCGTGTGCAGCTCATGTAGGCCCCGGTCCTTATTGGCGGGAGGGGCGGATCACAGTACCGCCTACCTACCTAGGTAAGGTACCTTAGGTAGAAAGGTACGATGCCTAGCCACATCAATGTGGCTGTGTATCCTCACTCTGTGGCGAGGCCTCCCGCTTAGCCTGTGTCATCCGCTCGAGGCCAACCGGATCGTGGGTAGATTTGGCTATCGCCAGGTGCGAACGGCCTGACGCAAGATGGCATGACATCATTATCGCGGTCAAGGCCAGAACTCAAAACAGGAATCAACACTATGTGGCTGACAAGGGAGGAACTCGTACAAAAGCAAATGCCCAGGCTCTGTGGTGCAATGCCGTAAAAGGAACGTTATGCCCTTTTTTCAACTTGACATTATTTACTGGCTCGTCGCACGCTCAATCATACTGAGCCACACCCCACGGACTACCTCAACCGACCACAGAGCTTGGCGTGGAGTCTCGAAGGGTCGTGCCAACCGACACACTACGCGCCGCATAAGACACTGCCCCAGGCCCGCAGCCTGCAGGGAGGGTCCAAACCATTGATGCTGTTGGGTGGCGTTTCGAATCGCAATACATAAGGAGACGTTCGTCGCCTCCAGCCACTTAGCTTCGTCGCGCCCCCCGTTTTTGGAGAGAGCGGAAGTCTTCAACGTCCAAAGTTGCTATCATGGCTAGCTTCATCGCAAAATTCATCACGAAGAAGATTCTCAAGGAGAGAGTGCAAAACAATTTCGGCACTGAGGTTAGCCGCGCCAATACTCAATTCGTTGGCGCCAATGACTGACGATGACTTAGGACCCTTACTTTGAGACCGTCCCAGCAACGCGCCTAGATGGCAGGCCTACGGACAAGGTCAAGAAGCGGCCCAAAGCCCTACCACCTGGCGTGTCCAAGCACGATGGCAAGGTGCTTACCAAAGTAAAGAGAAGAGCTTGGCGGCTGGACATGTGCTTGTTTAGTCTTTGCGGTGTACGCTTCGGTTGGGGTAGTGCCATCGGCCTTATTCCTGCGTATGTGCTCTTCCCTGATTCCAGAATGACAAGGCTAACCTTTTACGTTTAGCATCGGCGACGCCATTGATGCGTTGATGGCTCTCATGGTTTTCCGCACCTGTTGTAAGGTCGAGGGCGGCTTACCTCAGGGTGTGAAGACAAAGATGATATTCAACATCATTGTTGACTTTGCTCTCGGCCTGGTTCCATTTGTTGGCGACATGTTCGATGCCGCCTTCAGATGCAACACGAAGAACGCGGTTCTCCTCGAATCATATCTGAGGGAGAAGGGCAGGAAGAACCTCAGACAGAGTGGTGCCCCAATTCCGGAAATAGATCCCAGCGACAGTGTCATCTTTGACCAACGAAGAAGGGATGATCCCGACTCTGACGGCTCTGCTCATGTGGACCGCCAACCACAGCGCAACGGCACCATGTCGTCACGGCCTAATGGTACTCGACGTCATGATCGCACTGCGGAGCCGACAGTCCCGGCTACTACCAAAGTTCGTGATACCGGCCGTTCGGGCTGGTTCAACTTCGGTCGAGGCAGGGCGACGGATCTTGAGGCTGGCGGCGACAACATTGCCGACAGATCTACGGTTCCGACACGTCACCAGTCCAACAACGAACGCGGTAGGGAAATCTGAAAGACATGCGGTAATTAGATTGCGACAGCCAATGTGTATGATGGTATGACTTGGGTTCACACGTGGCATTGGTCGGCAACGCAACTCAGGACAAAGGTTGCAGGTCAAGTTATCAACGCGTTGTCCCTCAGCTGGGTCTGTCGGCACGCTTTCGTAATATACTATTCGTGGCTATGTTTTCTCTTGGACTACATCATTTCGTTCGCATGTTGATAACTCACCAAAACAGAGCTTGAATAACCGAATTTGTACAAGCGACATGACCAATGTTATGATGCAGTGTTTCTGCTCGGTTCCCGATACGCCGACGAAGGGACTCATACAGAACTGACGAGCGAGTTGCTCGGCCGAGGACGACGCATTGGGATTCACTTTTCACGGGCTATTACATCAGCTGGTTGGCTGTTTACACGATGATCTACACAAAGAACTACAAGAAGATGTGACCACGCCATGCCCGATTCCCTCAATAGGGTCGCGCGTGTGTGTGCACCTCGGACCTTATCAGATCTTCATCCTGGTCGACAGAGGCCAGGCACCCCCGCCCCACCATGACGGAATGTGGATTGAGCTGGCCTGGAAACACACCCTGCCTACAACTCAACCAGTTGGGTTGTCTTCGCCTCGCGCAGATTGGAACGACACAAAGCACGCGGCAACTACTGAAGAGTAGACGGGGGAAAGGAATGACCTAATTCCAGAAAGAGCCAACTCCTGTCGAAAACTAGGCGATGCAAAGGTTGCGAAATGCCAGTCCATGTCAGAAGCAGGGCTGGGCAGCTCTGTGTGACGGTCTTTACGCGTCGAGCGCGGAAACCTCCCCTCCCCCCGTCCTCCCTGACTTCGGTTGGCCGGGGTTCGCCATGGACCCAAGCGCGTTGGCTGGACAGAACACGGGGTGGGTCATGCAGGGATTAAAACACGCCCAAGGGGGGCTAGAGTGGGGTTGGTGCACCCAAAAACACGCTCAGAACGCGTCTCGACCACACGTGATGGCGTACCACTTTGTTCTACAAAAGGGCCGGACGCCTGGACTGCAACATCTGGCTCCCACTCTGCAACTCCTCACACCATCACAACGTTCTGGAACAACAACTCTACGGTGAATTGACATATTCGAGCAAAGTCAATTCGTCACTACCATCGTTTCCAATCCTCCTCTGGTTCACTGCCAAACACACCTGCCACAATGTCTGTTGAGATTACTCCCTCGAAGCAGGTACGTCGCGTCATCATGATCCTCTCTGCCTGAGAGAAAGAAAAAAGGGAAAGCTGACAATCATTCAACAGGCTGCTTCCGCCATTGAGTCGTTCAACATCGAGTCGCCTGTCAAGAAGCTTGACTTCAACACCGCCAACAAGGAGAACCACGCCGATTCCGAGGCGGACTCCGTTGTCAAGTCCATGGACGAGCAGGCCAAGCCCATTGCCATCGAGGCAAAGAGGGAAGAGGGAGATAAGGCAGTCGTAGCTCCGGGAATCAAGGACTTTGAAGCCGATGAGCCGCTGCTGAGGGAGAACGGCCAGCGTTTCGTCTTGTTCCCCATCAAGTACCACGAGGTACGTGTACGACGCGTTTTGACGCGTAAAGTGGCTCTTGAGTGTCGCATTTTGTACTGACATGTCCACCAGATCTGGCAGATGTACAAGAAGGCAGAAGCTTCTTTCTGGACCGCCGAAGAGATTGATCTGTCTAAGGATCTCCACGACTGGAACAACAAGATCAATGATGACGAAAAGTACTTCATCTCACACATCCTTGCCTTCTTTGCCGCTTCAGACGGCATCGTCAACGAGAACCTCGTTGAGCGCTTCAGCGCAGAGGTTCAGGTTCCTGAGGCTCGATGCTTCTACGGCTTCCAGATCATGATGGAGAACATCCACTCCGAGACTTACTCGCTGCTCATTGACACCTACATCAAGGAGCCTGCTCAGAGGACCTATCTCTTCAACGCCATTGATACCAGTAAGTTGCAATTCATGATATATACCTGCAACATGAAACTAATATTGCCTTTCAATAGTTCCCTGCATTCGCAAGAAGGCTGACTGGGCCTTGACATGGATCACCGATAAGAAGTCTACCTTCGCCACCCGCCTCGTTGCTTTCGCGGTTGTTGAGGGTATCTTCTTCAGCGGTGCCTTCGCCTCCATCTTCTGGCTCAAGAAGCGAGGCCTCATGCCGGGCCTAACCTTCTCCAACGAACTCATCTCTCGTGACGAAGGTCTTCACACTGATTTCGCTTGCCTGCTGTTCTCTCACTTAAACAACCGCCCCAGCAAGCAGACGGTCCAAGACATTGTCACCGATGCTGTCAATATCGAGCAAGAGTTCCTGACCGAGGCCCTCCCCTGTGGCCTGCTCGGCATGAACGCTACTCTCATGAAGCAGTACATTGAGTTCGTTGCAGACCGCCTCCTCGTCGCCCTCGGCAATGAGAAGGTTTACAAGGCAACCAACCCATTTGACTTCATGGAGAACATTTCTCTTGGTGGCAAGACAAACTTCTTCGAGAAGCGTGTCGCCGATTACCAGAAGGCTGGTGTAATGGGCAGCACTACCAAGAAGGAAGAGGAAGCGACTGAGGGTAAGGGCGAGAACGGCGGAGACTTCTCCTTCGATGATGACTTTTAAGTCACACGCCCTCATCTCTTTTGCGTCTTTTCTCTTGATACCCTTGTATTATGTACGACAGATCGGTACATGTCACGACGTCCGTATACTCCTTGATGGAGCTCGGATGTCCCAGCGCATACACGGAGCAAAGCGGCACGCGTCGCTTGCTGGAGGTCAATTCTCTCAAGGGCCCGCTTGAGCTGAGCTCTCATTTCATATTTTGTCGGACATGAACGGCGTTGAGGGGTGGTTTTCGTTTGACGAAAAGAGCGGCAAGGAGCTCTCGTACTATTGGCTTGACGCAATGATAGGGAGGACCTGATGACGCTCTTGAAGGAGCATATCTTAGCTTAGTATTCCAGACCATGTCTGATAATTGATTTATGAAAACAACGTTCCATCGAGAATGCTCCTCCTTGTGGCGGGACGATTTTGAGCAGCTGAGTGAGGCCATCTGCTGTTACCCCATGACTTCCCAGCGAGCATGCACCCGCACAGTCATGCACTCATTTCTTGCCCTTCTTCTTCTTCTTGCCCGCGGCCCCTTGTGCCTGGCCTTGCTGCGGCTGTTGTGCCTGCGCTGGTTGTCCTAATGCCACCTTGCCATCGGGCGCCTCCTCTTCCTTGCCAGCCGCGGCCGGCGCATCAACCATGTCCTCCTCGGCCGTCTCCGGCAGAGCGGCCATGCCGCGTCCCAGCCGACCGAGACTCAAAATAAGGCGTGAAACCTCGGCGGCCTTGTGGGTTCGGTAGCGGAGGGTGACGCCGCTCACGGGATCGAACGTCTTGAGAATGAGACGGCCGCGTGGCGGCTTGGGCGCTGGGGCGTCGGGCATCGCAGCGTCGACACCCGCGCCTCCTGACGTCTTTGCGACGCTAGACTGGGCGGCCTTGATTGAGTAGGCTGTTGTGATGCGGGTCTGGGGGGGAGCGCATAAGGGGTTAGCTCTGCTGCATCGATGGAGTGGGAGGGTTGGGGTCATAATATTGATCTGATGGGGAGCGGGCGCGGGCTGTCCTACGGTTGATGGGCGGGCTTTGAGGAGCAGCGAGGACTGCTCAAGCCATTCCTGGCTGGTGTGGTAGGTCGGCATGATTGCGTGAGGGGTGCTCCCAATAGCGGGCTGTGGCCTAGCAGACAGGTGTCGCTTGTGGCGTGCAATATTCAGAAATGCACGAGCAGTTCCGAGTGATGTGGTATGTTCGAGGCAGTCGGTTAAGTGGCGCACTGGGTTCTGAAGGAGAGCTTGGCTGGTGGGTGTCGTCTTCAGAGAGTTGGCCGTGATGTTGGAAATTGACTGTCGTGTGTTACTCGCCGCCGCGGGGCCAGTTTCTGGTCCCACCCAGGCCAGGTACTCGACAGGCGCCTTGGTCGCTTCCTTCCAAACCTCTGGGGTAGGTGCCCCACTCTAGCTGACGTCCATGGTTTTCAGCTTAAACGATCTGAAGGGTTTGAGAACACAAATACTTCCAAGTAACATAGCAATAACATAACCTAACAACATTCTCTGACTAAGTCTGTGTTCGAGTGTATTCGAATCGCGTGATCCAATTTTGTGCGGCAGCAATGGAATAAAGGGTGTGAGAGAACAATGTCATTCATTGTATATGATTGACAGTGGTTACATGTGCAGGGCAGGCATCGCCTCCAGACATCCTGCTGGGTATCTTCTTCCGTCGGTCTATGAAATTCAATTCGTCCGTCCCCTCAGGACGGCCAGATCGTCACGCACTTCCCTCGTGACTTCAAGCATGGGGGTCCGGCACCCAGAACAAAACCTCCTGGTCTGCTGTGGCGAAGAAGTTGTACCGGGGATTCCAAGCAAGCACAGCCGCCTCGCGCTTGTCCTCTAGAATTGTCGAAGGGTCCAGAACCTGCTCATCGGACGGCGTGCCCTGAGTATCCCATACCAAGACATCCTTCTTCGACCCACTGAGCACGTACCGGCCGTCCACTGTGAATGAGCAGTCCCCGCTGCTTTCCGGGATAGATCCTTCTTCTGCACCAAAGCCCTCAGCCGACTCTCCCGCTGCCCGTCGCCTCGTCCCCCCCTCGGGCTTGCGCAGGTATGCTTTTAGGTGACCATCAAATGCATCTAGGAGGAAGTGCCCGTTACCTCTGGTTCCTAGAAGAATGTGCTTTCCGTCGTTCGAAAACTCAAGTTTCGTCCAGCCTTTCATGGAGTAGTCCTTGTCGACAGAGCGGACAGCATCGACGACATCAAAAACGGCAAAGGGCGCCTTGTCAAAGTTACGGCAGTCATATAGGAGGACCGATCCACTGGCCGGCGAAGCTACGCCAAAGACATTGCCCGAGGGGTCATAGGCGGCCAGAGTAGGTTGGTTGAGAAAGAGCTGACCACACCACTGCTTTGACTTGATATCCCAGAGGCGGACTGTGTCGTCCTTGGCGCAGGAAATGAAGTTGTCCGTGCCAGGATGTACTGCTATGCTCGTCACGGCTTTCTCATGGCCCTCGAAGTAACGGATGAAGGAGTTGTCGTGGGTTGCTAGGTATCGGATCTGGTCTGGGTTGTCGTCATTAGCTTCGATCTTGACATTTTCTTCTGCGGGCATGGCGTATTTCTGCCTACCATTCTGCTTAGTACTGGCGTAGATGATGCTGGACGTTGTATGTGTGAACTTGGCTAGCTTGACGCCATATTTCTTGCTCAACAGGCTCTTTTCGTGCCTGCCCTCCCGAACATTGTAAATCTGTATCGTTTCGTCGCTTTCCGAGGTCATGAGAAGCTCGCCAGGGTCGTCAAAGTCGAGGGATAAAATGTGAGGAATGGAACGGCCATCTTTGATGTCTTCTCTGCGGAACAGCTGCTATTGCATCAATATGGAGCAAGTGAGTTTGGCGACATCGGACATAGGGCGCACCTTTGTGGGCCGGAAGCTTGAGATGACGTCGCTGACGCGAGATGTACTGCTGGGCGTGTTTCGCGTGATGTTTAATGAGTTGCCATTTGTCGAGGCGGCGTCGCGGTCCAAGTCCATCGGCGTGGAAGCCATCTTAGGTAGCTACGTGTGAGGTCACCTTCGTGGAGGACCAGAAAGTTGTCCGCGTTGCTCGGAGAGATTCGTGTGGTGTTTTCCAGGGAAAAGGACGATCCGAAAAGGCGGCGTGCGTTTGGGTCAGAGTCGATTGAAGCAAGTCGCTGGTGAACTGGGCAGGGTCGCGTCTGTCAATGTGAACAGTGGGTGCTGGCTTTGAGGAGCAGGACGATGATGGAGGGGCAGCGTGCTGTCAGAACAGTGCAGCGTAGGATCGGTTCATCCATTCAGGCCAAAACAGCTTTCTGCTGGAGCTTGGTCTTGGGCCTTGGCATGTTCCCAGCTTCACAGTTTGCTACCCGGCAAAAGCCGCCTGTGTGGGGATCGAGAGGCGAGTAACCCCAGCGTTGAAGGGATGGCAATGCAGGGACCGTCCATTGCTAATGGCGTCTGAGCCTTGGGGTGGGAAGCGTGCACGCGCCCTCCGGATATCGGACTCGCTGAATGAGGTTGAAAATTATGTCGCTGTCCGATGCCGCGTGGCAGCATTGGATAGAGCTATAGCAGCGCCTGTTACAAAGTCAAAAAGCCATTGAGTAAGCCAATTCCAATCAAGATCAGCACAATTGTCAGCCCGCCACGTTGTCGATTGTCTGTCCCGAAAACCGCTCTGTGGAAAGCTGCTGCATGTGCTGGTACATCTCACTCAGCAAGGTAGAGAGGTACTTACACACCTGAAGCTGCCCACTACCTGCCTGGGGTACTATCCGCTAACCGCGACAAGCCGAGCCCGGCATTGCATCGCGACCTCAATCCGACTGTCGACTCACCAACCTTCGGCGCTCGACCCTCGACCCTCGACCTACAAGCTCTCCTGCAGCATCGCCCAGCACTCTTTGACCTGTGCCCGAGTCGCTCCAGAAGAACCAGCATCTGATCAAGTCTGGTCTCGAAGCCTCCGGCGCCATGTCAACAACGCTGGGGTAATTTCTTCCCACCCTCCCTGTTCCTGGCTTTGCGCCGATGCTATTCCTGGCCAGACCCAGCTGACTCTTTGTACAGCGCCTTCCTCGCTGGTGGCATCGCTGCCTGCGGTGCCGTCACGGCCACACATCCTTTCGAGACAGTCAAGATCCGGTGCGTCCCTTTTATGCGGATACGCATGTCTAGTACATCGAAGTCCTGAGCTGACGGTGACACGCGCCGAACAGGATGCAGCTTCAGGGCGAGCTCCAGGACAAAGGCCATCAACCACACAAGTACAGAGGACCCCTCCAGGGAGTGTCGGTCATCGTGCGGAATGAAGGCGTCAAGGGTATCTACAGGGGAATAGGGAGCGCATACATCTATCAGATCCTGCTCAACGGCTGCCGGCTTGGTTTTTACGAGCCCATGCGTGGCACCCTGACCAAGCTCGTGTTTGATGACAGCAAGGTCCAGAGCCTGGGCGTCAATATGATCTGCGGTGCCGGCTCAGGCATAATCGGTGCTGCCATGGGCAGCCCGTTCTTTCTCGTCAAGACAAGACTGCAGAGCTTCTCGCCATTTCTGCCCGTCGGCACTCAGCACAACTACAAGAACGCATGGAACGGCTTCACTTCCATCTACAAGGCCGAGGGCGGCCGTGGTCTCTACAGAGGCGTTGGCGCCGCCATGATCAGGACTGGCTTTGGCAGCTCTGTGCAGCTCCCCACCTACTTCTTCGCCAAGAGGAGACTGGTCCGTCACTTCGGCATGGAGGAGGGGCCCGCTCTCCATCTCGCCAGCAGCACCGTCAGCGGCTTTGTTGTCTGCTGCGTCATGCATCCTCCAGGTCAGCCCTCTTTCTTTCTTGTTTATTGGTAGCTCCCTAGTCGCAATGCTAACTTGCAGCCAGACACAATCATGTCTCGTCTTTACAATCAGAACGGCAATCTGTACAAAGGCGTCTTCGACTGCCTCCTCAAGACAATCCGGACCGAGGGCTTGTTCGCCATTTACAAGGGCTTCGTCCCACATCTTGCTCGCATCCTGCCCCATACTATCCTGACATTGAGCTTGGCGGAGCAGACGAACAAGCTGGTCCGCGTGTTGGAAAATCGCATTTTGAGCCCGGTGGCATTGGAAAGCCCATGAGGCTTCTTGGCTGGGATGTGACTGCGCCATATACATAGAGGACACGGATAGACAAACAAGGCGGTGGAGGTGTTGTGGGGTGTGAAAACGTGCGGACGGCCGCCACGAGGAAATCATCACTGGGTAGCGCTTGGGTGTCGAAAGGGGTGCATCTCGAAGCCATGTACCTGTTAGCCATACTCGTCACTGCGAATATTACTTTTTGAACCTTTTTCATCCAGTACCCAGTAGCCTTCAACCGCGAAGGGACCTTTCGCAGCCGTAGCACAACTGGTTGGTGATCCCCAGCGCCGCAGCGTCATCCACCGTCAGGCCTATCTCGCCTTTCCAGCGCGCCTCTCCCAACTCATCCCTCGTCATGCCACACATGCCACAGGCGTCCCTGCCGGCAGGCTTCTCGAGCTTGCCTGTCGTGCGCACGACATTGGCGATGACATTAGGGTACTTGTCCTCGACCTCGGCAAAGTGCCGCGCCATGACATCCTCGATGCTCAGCTCCTTGTGCGAGACAACGCTGCCGCTGGCGCCGCCGACGCCGGGGTCATCTGCCGTCAACTCGGCCATGGCCACATCGGCCATGCTGTTGTAGGCGACAATCTCCTTCCTCAGGATGTCCCGCAAGGGGTAGTATACCGGGAATTCCCACTGCTGCCCCCCTACATTGCGGCTGCCCGCCTCCGTCTCGATCTCAGTCTTGCCCGTCAGCGCCGCAAACCTGGTCAGAGGGAAGCTGCCGTCAGAGACGAGCCAGGGAATGGCGTACCCACGGCCCTTGGCCGTCTCAGACAGGGTCAGCTCGGCGAGGGCTGTGGTGTTGTAGCCCATCATCAGCGCAGTGCATCCCCTTTGTGCAGCAATGTGGAAAAGGAGATGACGAAGGAGAAGGCGAAGGACATCGACACGGGAGGTGACAGATGGGAGGCTTTCGAGTAGGTGGCGCAAAGCGGCGGTGGGCTCCAAATCAGCTTGCAACCCAGGCAGGGCTGCCCAGTCTATGGTTTGGGCATCAAGAACAGCGCTGATGGGAACGGAGTCGATGCTTATATCTGGGAACCGGTTACAGTATTTCTGCAGCAGCTTGGCTGAAGGTGGTTGTAAGACGGGCGTGGATGGTGCGAGGTTGGTGTCGATGTGGACGACGTGGAGTTCGTAGACATTGCGTGGATTCGCATCTTTGAGCCAGCGTAGATTGGCGTCCAGCACCTGAAGGAGACCCGCGGAGGAGGAGCCGAATGAGAGGCCAAGTAGGTATTTTGGTGGCCGGCCTGTTGAGGCGCGGAGTTCCTTCAGAGGCTGGCTCAAGCGCTTGACAACCTTTTGCGAGACGTAGGCAGAGAAGCAGTTACTTCGGATGTTAGATTGGGGTTTTCATTCGGGCAAACGATCGTTGTGATCCGGGAAACATACTCGCAGAGAGAATCGAGTCTCACAAGGATGGTGGCAGGGTTCACCTTGCACCTCTTGCACGGCTTGTCCTGCTTGTCCCCCATTGTAGTTGCGCCTTGGCGTCGATATCAGTGTTCCGGAAATTTCAATAACAAGATCGGGTACCCAAATTTGCAGGAGAGAGGTGAGAGACGGGGGGTGGGTTGAGATTCAGGTAGTATGTGATATGCTTTCTGTTGAAGATGATGAGTCAGGAGATTTTTTTGTGCATATTCTCCGTGGCCGAGTGCTCTTTACCAGCTCAATCAATACATGGCAAACTACTTAGCCTATGTTGTATGATCAATGCAATGTGTAGGCTTTACGTTAAGACAAGCATCTTATCCTCCACTCATGAATTCACCCGGCCTGTACACCAAACGTTGGCTCTCGCGAATGTCTGGGTGGAATTACTGGCGAAGTCAAATTTTTGATTATACTCTTCTTCATGCACCAGCCAATGTGGCACGGAGAGTATGCCAGCGCTCCCAAGGAGAAAGTCACCAGGCCCAGAGCCTGCAAGTCCAAGAAAAGCACCGCCCTATCATCGTGTAACTTTCCAGCAAAGAGCCTAGATAGGGACTGATCATAGATTGTGGCGTACATGCAACTGACCCATGGTCGCTGGAGGCACTGATCTCGATTATTTCGTTTTCAGGTTGATCGATCGCTTCTAGACGAGGATCGAGCCCCACAGCCTGTCTTTGCGCCCCGAGTTCACTGACCGCTCGATTGAAGGAGAATCGAACAAATCAAGCTTCTGGCTGCGAGCGAATCGGAACAACATATCTCAGATCTGATGCAGCAGACCTAGACTGGCGTGATAGGGGCGTAATAGGGCGACGAGCGAAGAGTTCAGGCAGCAGCGCAGAAGTGAAGGCGTGTCTACAGACTGTTTCAGACGCCAGCAAACACATGGGCGCGACAAGCACTGAGCAAGAGCCATTGGATGGAGTGCTGTGAACTTACCTAGGTACCTTGCCTTCGGTACCTGCCTACCTACCTAGGTACCTTACATTACCTACTACCTAGGTGCCTAGGCAGGCAGGCCAGAGGCACCCTGTCATGACGTCAAAAACAGCATCCCAACATAGGTAGGCACTACCTACCCCTCGTACATTGCGGCACAGTGCAGCATGGTCTCCACTGATGGGCGATGCGGACTGAAGCGTCACCGTAATCCAGACCATTCCAGGCCATCCTCATCTCTTTCTCTCTCCTCCAACCGACTGCTGCCCACATGGACCCATATGCTATTGTCGAGGCTGGATGAAACGAAGTCTACTATTAATTGCTGACCCTTGATGGTTGCCATCTCCCTGGTCTGTACCCGCCGTCTCATATTCGCATGAAGCAGATCTGCGCCTCCGCCCCTGGCTCCGCCCGACGGCCTCACCATCGGATGGCGCTTCAGTCTTGAAACCTGCGACACCTTCGTGCCAATCCTTGGAAAGCTTAGCACTCTGCACATGCCGCACCCTGACCGAGACACCCCTTGATCACCACGAATCCTGCGAGGAACCACTACAACTCGACGAATCGTCCTTCGGGACACACTCGAGCTTTCCCTTCGTTCTGTATGTTCCTTGTCATTGCACTTCTTCCTCCTTCTTGTCCATCCACCTGCCTCCCCAACAACACCGTCATCGCCCACGCTCCTGAGCGCTACTCGCCAGTGAGGTAACGCCCGTCAGCAGCCGACGCCAATTATTTTCCATGCATCGCTTTCACGGCTCAGCACCTAATAGTGATTTCCGCTTTATCCACACGAGACCAGGCTGGCACCCATTGGCTCGAATAATCCATCCGTCAACGACATCCTCATCATCCCCCTCGAGATCTACCTCGCCTCGACGCATGCATCACGATCACCTACCATGGCTGCCGTATCACAACAACTGCGCCCCGTGCTTCCCGAGCGAGGCACAACTATCGCCATACCAACCACAGCACCTCCAGCGTTGATTTCGAGTGATGCCAATCAGACTCGTATACGGAGCCGATCCATGCTTGACACTTATGCTTCTCCTGTCAATCAGAATGGCAGCTTCGAGTTTGATCGCGAGGTTAAGAGCGGCCATGTACAAAAGCGCACCCAAAAGACCAAGGTCAGTCTACCTCTGGCCCATATCGAATTCCTGGGCTTCCGCTAACGTACAGGCAGACCTGGAAATCCATCTACCTCGTTTTGCGACCCAACGCCCTTTCGCTGTACAAAACGGACAAAGAGGACAAGCTGAGACACAAGATCAACCTGTCCGACCTTACTGCTGTAGCCCTGCTCCGTGATCCAAAGCAAAAGCGAAAGCATGTCTTCGGCTGCTTTTCACCCGCCAAAAACTACCACTTCCAAGCGAAAGACGATAACGACGCTCAGAAATGGGTTGACCTAATACGGACATATGCAAGGATTGACGAAGAAGAGGAGGAATTGCTACTGGCAAGTCCCGTCGCTCAACGAGGATCGTACCTACCACCTATTTCGAATGGCAGCTACGCCGATCCGGCCTTGCGTGAAAGGGTGACATCCAGCTCTCCCGAGCCCTTGGACCCTCCCGCGCCTCGCTTTATGTCTACCGATAAACGTCGTCCGTCCAACATGTTGGATTCTTCGGGCTACTCTGGCAATGAATTGGCCTCTCATTCCGACTTTTCCGACACTGAAATGCAACGCCTTCGGGGCATGTCCATTGAGGACCTCGCTGGGCAGTCTCCACAAGACAGCGGCGTCTTGTCAGACTCAGGCCTACCCGACAGGCCACAGATGAAACACCGGAACTCAAGCCAGGTCAGCGGCCTCAACCTCGAGCACGACCCAGATCGTGTTATTTGGCAAGGCTGGCTGTGGTTCCTTCGCAACAAGGGAGGGGTACGGCAATGGAAGAGGCAGTGGGCTGTGCTGCGGCCTCGAAACTTCATTCTCTACAAAGACGAGTCCGAGTACACTGCGCAATTCCTTCGACCCATGTCAGCTGTCGTCGACGTTGTGGACATCGATCCGGTCAGCAAGACCAAAAGCCACTGTCTGCAGCTCATCACCGACGAGAAGAGCTACCGCTTTTGTGCCCCTGATGAAGAGTCGCTGGTGCTCTGTCTGGGCGCCTTCAAAAGTCTCCTTGCCAAACGGCGAGAGTTAGAGGCACGAGCAGCCGCAAATGCAAGCCATGCGACTGCGATACCGGCACCGGTGAGCACTGTGTAAATTGCACACCGCGTCTTCTGCAATTCACTTTTTGATTCTACTTCTGCTACCCAAAGGTGGGTGTCTTACCACTGGTAGGCGCCATTGTAGGCCATGAGGCCATGTATACTGCTGTATAATCTCTTTTACGACACGACGTATGAATCCCCACGATGTAAGACTGAAAGCACGTCGATTGCGTGACCCAGCTTGCTACCCTGTTTATTTTGTCAGTTCGCGCCAACTGATAGTGTTTCCTAAGCCTCAGACGGCCTTGGAAGACCATCTTTGTACATAGAAAACCATAGGGGTCTTCCGCACTTGTCATTGACATTTGGCCCTCCCACTGCCGTGGAATCCAACGCGATTAAGATCGACTGTTCTTGAACAGGGTTCTCCCCGAATTCGCAAGGGCAGCTGGCATGTGGTCCATGACCACCTGCTCAATAGATACAACGATACAATGACAACACCCTTTAAATGCGATGTTCTTCTCGAGGCTCATCCTTCTTAGGTGTAGACGGTGTAGGCAGGCAGGCAGGCAGTAAGTTGAATCACGTATGTGACATTTTCACAGCATACGTTCGTTGCATGTCTCTATCATTTCATTTCCAAATGAAGTGTGTCAGACTTCTTTGCTGTCACTCACATCAAGTTAGCGCGAGTTGTGGTCATGGAATATCCCGTACAGATCTTAGTGCACTTTGCTGTGTCACACACTTGTGAGGAAAATCACTACAACACATCAGACATGTTGAAGCATGATGCTCGGTCATTAACGCATGTCGATGCTGGGAAGGCGTCAACCTGTGCATCCCCGTTCTAGACCACCAAGACCCAGTCCTGAACCTGCCGTGTCCCCCTTATCCCTCATGCCTAATTCGATAAACCAAAGAAAGCATCGTCGAACTGCACATCGTCCATGTTGTTGTCGCCGCCATAAAACATATCGTCGAAGCTGCTGCCGTCCCCATTATTGCCAAGGTTCATATCAAGGTCCATGTTGCCACCAATGCCATCCAGATCGAATATGTCGTTGTCCACGGCAGCCGTCGACTGCGGGTCGCCCGCCTTCCGGTCGCCTTCAATTTTTGGCGGTTCTGTAGTTGTCACGGCCGTGCTGGCGGTAGTGGCCGCTGACTGCACAGGAGCTGCAACTGGTAGCAGGCCATCCAGGGTGGACATTTCGGCCGTTGCGGGCAGACCAGACGTCGTACCCATGTCGGGCTGCGGCGCCACGTCCGCCGTTGGTTGGCTCTGCGAGTCCACAGATGGATCGAGACCGAACGTGATGTCTGTAAAGTCGAACTCGGATCCGTTGCCCCTGCCGCCTTCGTTCTCTCCGCCGCTAAGGTCAAAGAGGTCATCCATCGGCGCCTCGGGTGCCGTCGACATGGAAGGATCCGGAGCGACAGATGACATTGCTGGAGTCTCTTCTGATTTGACAGGGATGCTATCCATCGGGGCCATCATGGCCTGTGGCACCGACGGCGTTGGTTCGCGCTTGATGTCCGCTTTCGGCTGTACGGGAGTCGGCATGCTGTCATTGCCGCCCATGTCAGGTATGGGCGCCATCGGCGCCATCGGCGGTGGGGCGGGACTTTCTTGCGCAGCAGAAAACGGAGCAGATCGGGTAGGTTCCTCCTTGAGCGGGGGGGAGGGCGGTGGTTTTTGGGCAAGTTCAGGGCTGGCAACAACCAGGGTGACCGAGGCTGGTGATGCGATCATGGGCGCAGGCGAAGCCTTGATTGCCTCTTCTGGCTGTGGCGCGCGGCGTTGTTGAAGACGGTCCAAATCTCTTTGCAAAGCCCCTTTCGCTCTCATCTGCAGAGACTCGTCAGCAGGGCTGTAGGGATGGATCGTGGCAAGGGAAAGGATGAGCTTACGACTTCACTTTCTAGATCATTGAGCGCCCAGTGGAAATTCTCAATGGTTTCTGGCATACGAGTCTGAAGCGATGCATGGATCTGAGAGACGTTTTGTCGATTCGGTTGCTTGGTCGATGCCTTGAGGGCCTTGCCAATCTGTATGATCTGGGTGCCCTGGGTCAACGGGCTGAGTCGGGGGTTTGGAGGGAGAACGACTCACGACATCGTTCAGCATGTATTGCAGCTGGTCAAGAGGGTCTTTCGGTTTATGTGACATGGTGCTTTGAAATATGACGACAGGAACGGCGCCTGTCCTGCTTCTTGTGATCGCGAAGTAAGTAAGATGGCAAATGCAAAAGCCAGCGTGAGGATGAATATGAGGGTCCGTCACTGGCATCCAACTGACACCCTACCGGCCTGGGTTGACTGATTGAGCTCTCCTTTCACAACTGGGCAGTCCCACCTGGGGTCCTGCGCACGGACCAGCGACCATCCTCTGGGCATACAAGCGTTTCAGCAATCACTGGAGACCATCACGTGATGGGACGTAGACCCTCCATTACCGGACCCATATCAAGGTCTCCGGTTCGTGATGCACGTCCTAACGTCTTACCTGGACCAAGTTCGACGCGCAGTGCGCACAGTCAGTCATATGAGTACCGCTGTGTCTTTCCAGAACAAACGAGCCGCCATGCGTTTCACACTGTTAGGCGAGGCACACTCGGCTTATGGGTCTGCGACACTACACAATGAGACAGGCAGCTTGCATCCAGCTCATGAACGCAAATGGAGACGCCTACAAATAATTGCCGCGCACACAAGAACCACGGGCTCGTCTACTTGCCGCAAGTGTGCCCATATCGTTTACGCTTGCAGGGAATTGATCGACACACGGGATGTGCAAGTACCAGCCGAGCGCAGAACAGAAAGACCCCAGACCACCTTGCGCAAACACTAGCAGGCGAGGATGCTGATTATCAGGAAGTTGATGTCGCCGCAAATTTTGTCTTGTGCACATGCGGAGAAGATGAGAATCCTAGTCTCTGCGGCTCAAGTCCATGTCATTGCTCTCGGCGCTATCAATGTTCGATCCTGGTCTCGTATCCGACAGAGCCATTGGTTTGGAGACCCTGAGCGGCTCTTAGGTAACACGTGGTCAGCACCGCAAGAATCCAAATCTATGGAGCCAGGCAAGTTCAAGGCTGTCTTTCTTACTGTACTGGACGTCGCAGTACACGACATCACAATGAAGCTACCAAGTTCGGGTCCTGAGGAGCGCTGTAATCTCACCTCGTGGTCCAGCTTGTACAAAACAGCGCCTCGCAACAACACGGTCATGAACTAACTCATTGGTCACATCAAGGTGAACGTGTGGTCTTGGTCCAAATGTTACAATACGTGTTGAATAATGGGGTGTAGGATTATTATTGTGTTAGATGTCAATGAACCTGGTACACCGTCCAATTTGACAGGCAAGCACCAAGAGCATTTGACTGTCAGTTGCCTCGGACTAATGCTTTGTTCAGCGGCCAATGCGACTAGAAACTTTCGACCTCCTTTCGTCGTCTTGAATCCCTTACAGCGTTACCGCCACAGTTCATCAAGGTGAGCGTTTGAAAGCACCACCTCAACGACACTCGATGCCGATGGCTTCTAAACGAACGAGCCAGAAAGCATGTCAAGCTACTCGACTCACAGGCTGGCTTGACGTGCATGTTGATCAATGGGACAGCAACTGCGCCGTGCGATCATGCTGCCATTACCATCCATCTCAGCCAATGTTTGCCGGTGTTGCCGATGTGATTGCAAGGGAAAAGCGCCTCACATGTAATGCTTTCATGGCTGGACCAAATGCATGCAGGAAGCATGCCGCGTTTGCTCTATTATCCTTTTTCCGACAAGTCAATTATGGGATTGGATTGATCCAAGACTCTCTGAGACAGGTTTGTTGGTGAGACAGCCTTACCCGCCTTCGATCTTTATTTAGGTACCTGGGTACCTGGGCCTCGGGCACATGGGCATCTTCCTGTGCCCCGAACACTCAACATTGCTTCCCACGCTAGGTACCTTACCTAGCCTGTGGCTTTTCAAGATGAGAATCCACATTCCTTCAACTCCGAGGAGCTGGAGTAGACAACATCGCCATTGTGTCCTTAATGATCTGCGTCCACGTTGCCTTTGAACCAGGCGTCTCGCGGGCAGGTGTTATGTCGAAGCTTTGCGATGCTGACTGGCTCGCTGAGGCCAGGTCCCATGCCTGTGGCACCTTGGCGCGCTGGAGGTTAGCCTCTGCTGCCTCTCTCAACGCCAACACACATCAGGCTAGCTCCCTCGCTTAGGCAGGCTCGCCACGGACACAATAGTGCTGTGGCTCCAGTCTACTTGCCTTCCTCGCCCGTATCACCCGAGGGGCGGAGTACCCTGAGCTCCCCTCACTAGCAGCGCTCATCTCACCCTGCTGCTCTGCCACTCTCTCTGCCTCTTGCTGTCCAAGTCTGGTCTCCACTCACCGTCCCATCATCCCCTCATTCAGATCCATTAAAGTTCCTCCTCCTCACGTCCCATTTGTCTTCTCTCTGACGTTCATCCAAAGAGCAATATCGGAGGGCAAAGCGCGTTACTACTCGTAGGAGGGCTTCTTCAGTCTTTTTCCTTTTTTTTTTCCCTCTCCCTCTGCCTCCGTCTCCGTCTCCGTCTCCGCCGTTCTCGTCCTCTCGTCAACGTCTGGTTTCTCATTCCTCGTCCCTTTACGGTCCCACCGCATCTTCCTCAGCGTGCGCAATCTCACGTCCTACGTCTCGGCCTGTCTTGATCCAACGTTGCCGCCTTTCGTCCCGTTTCGTAGCGCTCGACCCTTCCGGTATTTTCCCCCGCCTTCGTCCGCCGACCGTCTCGACAGCAAGTCGCCGAAGCTCCTAGCCTTTGCGAATCAAGCTTGCGAGACATTGACTTTGTTCGACCGCCGCAGCATTCGGAACTCATTTTTGGCCGTCGACCAACCGCCGCAGTCGGGACAACCCAGTTCTCGGGCGAACCACCAATCACCTCGGCGCAACTCTCTCTAATTCAGATACTGCAGACTTGTGGCCATCGCGACCAATCTTCCAATGGCCGACAACGGGACCAATGCAGCTCAGCTGCCTCTTCCTCCTCAGTCCAACCAGGGCGCACCTGGCTATGAAAATGGCCAGAAGCCTCCTCCTCCCCTGCACATCCCGCAGAACAACAACCCCATCCCGACAGCCATCACCTCGCCTCTGTCTGGCGTTGACCAGGCTCTTTCGCCGGGCAGCGCTGGAGGCTTTGGCCGCCGTGCTGCTCCGGAGCCCAACAAGCGTGCCCTCTACATCGGGGGCCTCGACCAGCGCGTAACGGAAGATGTCCTGCGGCAGATATTCGAGACGACTGGCCATGTCCAGAACGTCAAGATCATCCCCGACAAGAACGTAAGCTTCACTTCTCGTGTGTTGTACACGACGCGCAGCTGACATGATTTTGCAGCAAAAGGGTTACAACTACGGATTCGTCGAGTACGACGATCCTGGTGCGGCCGAGCGCGCTATGCAGACCTTGAACGGACGTCGTGTTCACCAATCTGTACGGCTTCCGAGAATACGATCATCCCCAGCTCGCCCACTGACATATCACAGGAAATCCGCGTTAACTGGGCCTATCAGTCCAACACAACGAGCAAGGAGGACACCTCGAACCACTTCCACATCTTCGTGGGCGACTTGTCGAACGAGGTAAATGACGAGATCCTTTCTCAAGCCTTTGCTGCCTTCGGATCCGTCTCTGAGGCTCGTGTCATGTGGGATATGAAAACTGGCCGATCCCGGGGTTACGGATTTGTCGCCTTCCGGGACCGACCTGATGCGGAGAAGGCTCTGAGCTCCATGGATGGCGAATGGCTGGGTTCCCGCGCTATCCGCTGCAACTGGGCGAACCAGAAGGGCCAGCCCTCGATTGCCCAGCAGCAGGCCATGCAGGCCATGGGCATGACCCCGACGACCCCCTTCGGCCACCACCAGTTCCCCGCGCATGGGATGGCCTCCTACGAGGTCATTCTGGCTCAGACCCCGAACTGGCAGACGACCGTCTACGTTGGCAACCTCACTCCTTACACTACCCCTAACGACGTTGTACCGCTCTTCCAAAACTTCGGCTTCGTCGTGGAGTCTCGTTTCCAGGCAGACCGTGGATTTGCCTTCATCAAGATGGAGAGCCACGAGGCTGCCGCTATGGCCATTTGCCAGATGAACGGCTACAACGTCAATGGCCGGCCCCTGAAATGTAGCGTAAGTACACACCCTCCTGTCTCGCTCCCGCTATCTCCTTTACGCTCAGAAGTTACGTCGTGCAAAAAAGCTGACGCAGTTATAGTGGGGCAAGGATAAGACACCCAACGCTGCGGGTGGCTTCGACCCTGCTCAGCAGGGCTACAGCCCGCAGAGCGCCACTGCTCCTGGTGCCTACCCCGGAACGCCCACGGCGTACTTCCCGCAATACGGTGGTAAGCAGAGTATTTCGTCCGTCTCGAGTGGTTTCAAAACTGATGATCGTATGTTTGTAGCGCAATACAGCGGCCAGCCTGGTAACTACGGAGGACCGGCTGCTCAGTCACCGGCCGGCTACGGAGCTCAACCCATGGCATACGGTGGACCCCAGAGTGCAGGTGGCTACGGCCGTGGGCAGCAGCCCCCCAGCGGCCAGTGGCAGCAAGGACCTCAGGGTCAGGCTTTCAACAACGGCTACGGCGGTTACCAAGGTTAATGTGAAATCGACTGGTTGCTGTCATTTCGATTCGCCGCGGCAGCCTTTCAGTATGGACGGAGGATGACCACTGGGGTCTCTGTCCTCCAAGATGTCGACCCTGGAGGTACACCGCCAACCCTTTCTGCGTGGGCATATGTCGTTGCCAGGAAAGGCATGTGTATGTCGATGAATCGTGACGACGATCATGCTGGTCGTGCGCGACGGCGGACTAAGGGGATGGAAGTGACGTCGGGGTCGTTTGCTTCCATCGCACGGTGGTGGATTTTCAGTTCTTTCTCATGGACCTCTCCCGTCTTGCTCTCTGGTTCTCTGTCTTCGTCTCCGTCTCTGGCTTTATCTCTTCCTTGTCGTCTTGCCGTGATTCACTCTGCCAAATGCATGTTTCCATTCCCCTACTCTGTCAGGCGTGGCTTCAAAATTTCGAGTTCATTCGGTCTCCTCTCCCATTTCTGTCACTCAAGAAACGCATTCATATTTTTCTCTGCTCTACTCGACAAGTCGTTGCTTTCCTCATCAGACGCTACTGTTGGATACCACCTCCGCAAGACGGAACTGTTCATTAACGAGATTATGACTTGTTTTGCAATACCCAATTTGCCCGTCGGACTGCGAAGGAGCGGGCACTGGATGCCAAGTCGAAGAGAGGAAGCTACGAGATGTGTGCATTCGACCGGTAGCCGAGACGAGGAGAAGGACAATGCTGGGGTGCCGCGGGCCCACCAAGTTGGACGGTTTGTTGTTAAGCCTGCATGTTCACATACTACATGTTTGTTCAATATGTATCAAATGAAGGACGAGTTGCCGCCCGTCACATTTAAAGCTGTTCGAATTGGCCCCCTTGCGACAAAGGCCATGGACTATTTGTTTTAACAAGGTTCACAATGGTAAAATAAACGAACCCGAGGTTGGCCATACAGCTCTTCGGCGAGGTCAGGAATCCCATATGTCATCGTGTCAGTCCACAGACCACATCAGATCGCTGAACATCCAGGGAATGGAAACCCGACAGCTAGGCCAAGGTACCGACTAAGGAGATACAGGGCGTGCTTCGTGCGGTATGCAGGCTGAAACTTACAGATGGGGGCCAAGTTCAAGGTAGGGGACTGCGCAGCCCGAGAAACCCTGACGCGGTTCATCTCGCAGTGGTCATGCCGAATAATTTTTAAGTAAAGGTACCTAACTCGTGCCAGGAAGGATAAAACACGAACTCCTCCTAGCTCCTGAACGCCAATAGAGTCAGAAAGTGGCCTAAACACCGAAAGAATGAGCCCGCCATGCGGTAGTGATCCGCCTCAGCTGCCTCCCACTTTCGTCAAAGTCCTCGCGGGATAGCACGATGAGATGCCAAAGGCCGCAATACGCCTGGACTGTAAATGGCAAGTCAGACGAGGCCGGACCGTAGGTGGACGGGTGGCTCAAGCACACTCGCCTGGCGCCTAACGGTCCATCTGTGGCAGTCTTCCATCTCCATTGTTCGATACCTCTTGACTGAACAGCAATCCCCAAACGAACACGCTCCCCCCCC